GCCTCGCACCGAGGACCTATCCACGTCATTTACCCAAAATGCTTTGTGTGTAAATAAAATGGCTCCGTCCGTGTTAATATATATTTTAAAAATTACAAAACTAAACAGCCTACAGTATTTTACAGTTAAAATAAATGTTTATCAAAGTCTAATGTTACAATTAATCGGGGATCCCTTTTTTAAGGTCTTGTTTACATGTAAATCTCTGGAAGCATTTGTGTTTGATTATGGAAAAGTTACATGTTTTTGCTTTGCTTATTAAATCTGCTGTAAGTTTCCACTCCAACCACTAGCTGGCACTCTGAAATTTGTATTTCAATAACCAATCCTGCGCAGATATTTCAGTTTCAAGCATGTATATAAAAACATAATAGCTTTGAAGCCACAATACGTCAGTTCTTATTTTTCTATCTGGCCACCCTGCCTGGCCTGGACATTCAGCGGATCAGGTAAACATGTTTTGATGCTGACTCACCTCTGTAAACATGGGAGAAACCGTAACATTTCCAGAGACCATTCTCATGTAAACAGGGTCTTCGAAGGTGCTCTCCGACCACGGGAACATTTTTGCAATTCTTTTGTTTTCACACTGTGGTCCTTCAGGTCGTTAAAGCTGCATTCATAGGATCCTTTTTTTAAGCTTCTACCCAGCTCAATAGAAACCGTAAATGTCTAAAGAGACACGATTGAGCCGTTTTTGAGCATCAAATGAGTGGAATGCTCGCCTATTTATCTCATTTTAAACAAGCTTTTGTACTCTTTTTGTGTTAATGTGGAAAAGTTTCTCACAAAGTGAAACAAACTGAGGTGGAGTAGGTGCTGAGCCTGCGTTTACTGGAAGAAATGCTGCATTATTTTTAAACAWTAATTGTGTTTCCATCAAGGCTTTTTGATGCTCATTTAGAAATGTCGCATTAAAAATACGAAAAAAAGTCGGATGGAAACAGCAAAATTCGAAAAAAAATCCTCAATTTGCTAAAGTTTTTACGCTCGCTTGAGGTGGTTTTTGGGTTTTTCGAAAAACACTTAATGTGCAAAAGGAGAGA